CAAACAGGGTGAGCAAACAGGAGTTTGGCAGAGGAGTTTGGAGGAGGAGTTCGGCGGGGGAGATCCCTAACATCCCCCCCCCTTTTCCTGTTTCTCTCCCTTATTTCCTTAATTCCTCCACTGCACACGGTGGCATGAGTAATGCACCAAGAAGGGCACCCTGCAACAACTGCAACTGCTGCACACTAGTACCCCTTATTACAGGAAAAAGTAAGAGCACTGGATAAGGATAGCAAAATTTGCAACAAACGGAGAAGAGTGCTAGTTGTGGGAGATTCCCTTTTGCACGGAATGGAAAAATGTGTATGTTGTGATGACCCAGAGAATCACCAAGTATGCTGTCTCCCCGGTGCCAAGGTTAAAGATATGACACAGCTCATACCACGCGCTGACAAATAACCCTTCCTTCTCTTCCACATGGGAACTAAGTTTTGCTGATATCACATCAGACTTCAAAGCCCTAGGGAGGAAAATAAAAAACACTGAGGCCCAGATAGTCTTCTCCTCAATCCTGCCTGTATGTGAAGAGGAACTGTTATGGAAAGAAAAATCCTTCAAGGAATGACTGGCTACGATGGTTGTGCCATAAAGAATGATTTGGATTCTGGAACCGTAAGCTAAGCTTCCTTGGACTACTGGAAATGATCGGCTGCACCTCCCAAAGAATGGGAATATGTTTGGTCACTGCATGAAAAACTTCATCAGGAGAGCTTTAAACTAAACCTATAGGGGAGGGAACTGTGCAGCATGGCATACCATAATGTGGCAAAAACCTTTACATTCCAACAGAGAAAAAACTTCAAGCAGGGCCCAGCACCAGTCTCCCAAAAAAAAAAACGAAAACCAGGGAATAGCAAGAATGAACTTTGATATTTCTACAAAAAAGTCCAGAGTATGGGAAACAAGCAACACAAACTAGAGCTGATAGTACATGAGAACAGTTATGATCTTACAGGAATAACGGAAACTTGACAGGATGACTCACATGACTGGACCTCTACAATTGATGGATACAGCCTGTTCTAGAAAACAGAAAGGACCAAAAGGGAGGTGGAGTTGCACTATATGTAATAGACAAATATATCTGCACAGAAATACAAGAGGAACTTCGTAGCTCCATTGACAGCATCTGGCTAAATTTAAAGGGAGCAAAAAATTAAGAAAAACATAGTTATCGGCATATATTACCATCCACTCAGTCAAAAAGAGGACAAGTTCAAAGCAGCTTGCTGGCATTTCCAAGAAGAACGATGTAGTCATCATGAGGGACTTCAATTTCTCTGATATGTGCTGGGAGACAAATTCTGCACAAGCATTCCCCTTCAGGAGATTCCTGACACATGTTGCCTTCAGCTTTCTCCAGCAGAAAGTAGAGGAAGGTGCAAGAGGATCGGCTATTCTCGATTTAATACTACTAACTAACAGGGATGGCCTGGTGGACAAAATAGCAGTCAGGGGAACTCTGGGGGAAAGTGACCATGCGATACTTGAGCCAAACAAGGATCCTGGACTACGAGAAAACCAACTTTAACGAACTCAGAAAAATGATAAGCCACACAACATTCTGAAGTGCCATGGCAACATACCCTTAAGGGGAAAGGTGTCCAAGAGGGGTGGGGAATCTTGAAAAAGAAGATTCTCAAAGCACAACTGTGAAGCACAGCATGCTAAGCACATCAAGAAAGCCTTCTTCAGTTACTTCCACAACAAAAAACATAAGAGAAGGGTGTCTAGATACTTAAAGTGGATGGCAGAGTGATAACAGATGACAAAGAAAAGGCAGAGGATTCCTACTTCGCCTCAGTTTTCTCCCACAAGGAAATCAAGAGGAAGTTCAAGCTGAAAGTGAGAGATGGTAGCCCAAGATTGACAGACAAATGGTCAAGAAATACCTAGGTGAAATGGTAAATTGAAATTAAATGGTATAAAGAGATTTGGAATATAGCTTTTGATGATTAATTGACATGTGGGGTTAGAGTAAAAAAGGAACAAGTAAGAATAATTTTAATGAAATATGGGATTTGTTTATTGAAACAAAGGGTAGTAACGCTTCAGGGCAATTTTGGATGGAAGGGGGTATCCCTGAAAAACAGAAAGGCAAAGAAGAAAAAAATGAGAGAAAAATATTATAGAGCCATGGTCCCAGTGGAGGGGTGTGCTAAATGTGGTTAGGGGTTTTTTTGGGGGGGGTTCTTTTTAATATATATACACAGACATAGAGATTTTAGTATTCTTTTGAAGTTGAAAGGGGGCAAATTATTTCCTTTTGAGGACACATGTAGTACATCTATATAGTACTACTCATAGAAGGCTCTTTAAAGCACATTTTTCCTCTGGTTGAAAGCATAAAAATAAATAAATAAATAAATTTGGCAGTAATGTGTAGCAGTATGTGGTGCCCATGTTGTCCACATTTTGGATAACAGATCCATTCCTCTGGTCGACACTGTTTTTGTACACATCAGATTAATGACTGCCTTTATACTTCTGGCTTCTCAGGTAGCAGGAAGGAGCAGTTATCCTTTCCTACTTTCTGAACCAGGTAGCACACAGTTGAGTTCTCAGATCTGGGAAGTTAGAGACTCCCAAGAGATGCCCTTCTAGCCTGTATTCCTTCATATTTTCTCTTGTATGCAGTATTCATAAATGTAATGAATATGCTTAATAGGTTTTACAAATTTTATTTGTTGGACTTTATCTGTAAAGTTTGGTAACTCTTCCCCTTAACAAGTGGATGTTACCAAGAGTAGGTGCTGTCTTAGAAGTGATGACTGCCTCTCTTAGTATGTGTTGGATAATGAGTATTTTAGAAGCAAGCAGAGTGCTGTGTGGTCTCTGTGATGTACATATATTGGTTCATGTGTCTGTCCAGAACAGTATTTTGAACATTCAATGGCTAGACTTGGCTTTTTGGCTTTTTGGCTTTTTGGCCATAGTCCCACTCCCTTTCTCTGTGTACTCTCCAGGGATGGAGCCTGCCTGCATCTCATTTCCTTTCAGTGACACCCACATGTCCAATACTGACACTTCCATTTATTGCCTTAGATGCACAGCTCAGGACTGGCCCTTCAGCACCCATGGTTGATTTGATGCAAGTCAAATGAACTAAATCCCATTCAGAACACCCTGCAACTATTGGAGCCTCAGGACTGAAAAAAGTCAACCTGTAGTTTTGATTCTGACACCAAGATGGAATATATATTAGGTTGGGTGAATTGGCTAGACTTCCAACACCAGAACTGTTTCCTTGTCCACTGACTACTGCTAGAGAAATTTAGAATTCCCGGAGGAATATGACTTAGATCATGATCTTCAATGCCTTGGCTCTAGTGATGGTTCTCTTCAAAACATCTGTCTGGCACCATACCTCTCTTGACAAGTACTGGCATTGAAATATTAATGCATCTCTCTAACATGATCCACTACCTCAGGAATTCTCTTAAAACACTGATGAGATTTTCCAAGAGATTACACATACCGTGCATACCACCACCACGTTGGTATTACTGCTTCCCTCCTAGAAGGCACTAGAATTACAAGAGTACTGACTGCTATATTTACTGTTGGCACCAACAATTTGCCCTCCATACTTGACAAACTCAAGAACTCTGCCACTCACGGTTTCCAGACTTCCCAAGACCACACCTTATGTAGTACTCAGTCCAGTAAATGTGCCTATCATGCATTTACACAGCTTCTGGACAACTTTTTGCTTAATGTTGACCCTATAGAACTTCCCTAGTTAACCCTTCCTGTGCAGCCTCAACCAATCATTCAGCTTAACATTCCCAACTTTCTAACAACCAAACGCTGATCAATAATCCATCATCAATGCAAGATGGATACTGCTTTGGCTTGTCCTTCTCTTCCACTATCAATACCCTCCACAGATATTGCCCTGTATTCCCTTCAGACAATATCAGACCTTACATGGAACAGATCTTGAAGATGACCAAATTCTAGAGATCAAACTACAGTCCACCCCTCATCAAGCTGACATGGCACCACCAGTCCCAGTTCTAATGCTTTTCACTCTAATCTGCACAATTAAACAGTCCTCTATACCACCGAGTTCTCAGAAAAGTCAGGGGGTTTTTTTATACAATTCCTTTTTCCTATTCAAGCCCATGATACCTAATTCAATTTTCATGGAAGCTTCATAATCCAAGTAACACATTCCTTCCTGACAAACACAGAGGGATGGATACTTGACACCACTGGTCACAAAATATTCCTAAGGTATCTTGTCCTTGTGGATTGTCAGTTACCAAGTCTGCATGCTGGGTAAAGTTCTTAAGGGATAAAGTGGTTCCTTCCTTTGACCAGCTACCTAATGACACCAGAAACCTCACAAATTTCTAAGCAGAAGCTCACAACCTGACAAGTCAGCAAATAAATCCTGCCTGACACATGGTAGACTGTGGATCTAATTTGACAGTGGCAGCTGTTGGCTGTTACCTTTCTCCAGGAAGCTTTCTTTTCATGGGCTTTCATCGCCTCAGCATTGTCCATATCTGCTTCCAGCTGCTGCTGCTGCTGCTGCTCCATCTTTGGTGGTTCTTGTTATTCCTGCAGTCCCACCATTATGACTAAGACACCTGTTGTATAAGTACTTTCACTTTTTCTTCCACTAGTGTGACCAGCTTGCATTTTTTGCAGGTGCATACCATGTTAATCGCTGTCAGGAACACAAACATTGCACACACTTTGCTGGTCGCTTAAACGTAAGACTCCATTCCGTCCCTTGTCTGCTATAAAAGAAGTAGGAAAATAAGCTTATCTTAGAACACTGCCAGAAAAGGTTGAAGAATCTCTTTTCTCTTGTCTTTAAGAATTTCATGATTGAGAAATCCTGGCAAAATGATTAATTGACAGCTTGGGTTATTTCAATTTAAATGTACATGTGGTAAGATGGCTTGATTGCTTTAAAAACTGCCTAATTTCTTTACTTAATTGTTGCATTTTAATCAGAATATCATCCCTTCTTCCCCCTGCTCCAGGTCTTCGAGTCAATGGGGAGCTCATCACTGCTTACCCACAGGTTGTGGTGGTTCGTGTGCCAACACCATGGGTTCAAAGTGACAGTGACATTACAGTTCTTCGTCATCTGGAGAAGATGGGTTGCCGACTGATGAATCGTCCTCAAGCCATACTCAATTGTGTCAATAAGTTTTGGACTTTTCAAGAATTGGCTGGCCATGGTGTGCCTCTTCCAGATACCTTTTCATATGGTAAGTGGCTTAAAATAACATTATGGTACAGAATGATTAAGCAACTGAAGCCACTGAGGTATTAACTAAACTCAGAAAGTGCTGTTCAAGTGAATGAAAAGAATTGAGAATGAGCAGCTTAATTAATGACAATTTCCATAGAAGCAGGAATGATAATTTAGTTATCTGAAGATGGGTAACTACATGACTTTTCTCTGTGGCACTAAGTTCCCAAAACTTAGTGGCAATATGTTCTTAAAACTGGGAGTGCCTTTGAAACTTTTTTTGGGGGGTCAATTGCTTGTGTAATAGAATTAACATATGTATTATGTCATCTTTTGTGAGAATAGCAGAAATACAAGACCATCTCAATGGCTTCATCATTTTTCCCTGTTCCTCATCAGGCCAGCTGCTGCTTTTCTAGTTCAGGAAGGTGTAAGGTATACAAGTATGGTCCAGGATGGTGGGTTAATTTAAGAAACCAATTGGGAGAGGGCTAGAAAGACATGGGTTTGTCAGGGAAAGCAGCATGTTGAACAATGTATACAGTAGTACCTTGGCTCATGAACTTAATCTGTTCCATGATTTTGGTTGTGACCCAAGTCAGATTTCCCCATAATGTTCAATGTAAATAAGGTTAATCCATTCTGTACCTATTTTTTTAATCAGAAAAAAATGAAACAAAATGACAAAACAACAAAGTACTGTACAATACAGTGGAGAACACTAAACTAGGTGGTAGGGGAGATTACTGTTTTGAGGGAGAGTCCCCCTCCATAAGGACATTGGGGAGATCTCTTTCAGGGGTTTCCTCTCTTCTTTGTCTCTTAGCTGCAGGGTCAATTTTGGTGAAAAATCTTTCTGTAGTCACTTGTTTTTTCCTGCGCTGCATAACCCTCCTGAAATGAGAGACCACATTATTGTTCATTTGATTCAACACTCTGTTACATTTATGTTGGGGTGGTGCTTCTCAAAGAAACCCTGGCATGGGCACGCTCCTGCAGGAAAGACGGGCACAATCTTGGCCATCTCCCCCCTCACCCCAACCAGCATGATCGTGGCCATCTCCCCACCCCACCCCTGAGTGGGGAGATGGCCAGGATCGCAGTTGTATTCGTGCAGGGAAGACGTGCGTGATCACGGGTGCACTTCTGCAGGAAAGATGGGCGCAGCACAGCACAGTGGGGGTGGGGAGATGGCTGCAATCTTGGTCACCACCCAAAGCGGAGTCTGTGACCCAAGTCAAAATTTTCATGAAATTTTTGTTTGTGAGCCAAGGTACCACTGTCCGTTCCATTCTGAACAAACTGAGCATTTATTCTTACACCTCTTTGTGATGCTGGAGACCAGGAGACTAGAATGTTTTTTCACCCATGAGCAGGCTATACAGTTAGGAAATGTTTAATGGTTTTATAAAAGTTTTTTATTAAAAAAAAACCCTTAACTTAGAAGAAAAAATTATTTCTAAGTTTTATATATGCTTGCGTAATATTTATATATTATTAAAGTTATATTCTGCATTATTAGCCCAAGGACTTTCTAAGTAGATATTTGAGAACTAGTGTGGTGTGGTGGTTCGAAGTACAGGATGAGGTACTTAGGAGATCTGGATTCTAGTGCCCTGTCAGCCGTGGAGCTAATTGGGTAACTTTAAGCCAGTTACAGGCTTTCTGCCCAACTTCTTCACAGGGTCATTGTTGTGAAGATAAAATGGAGAGAAAGAGAACCCTGTAAGCTTCCTTGGATTCCTTGCAAGTGGACAATAGTTGGAAATAAATGCAATGCAACAATCACTATATACCACTGTCTCATCTAGCAAGTAGTGAACAATGAAGTGTGGGGGGAATCAAAATATAACATTACATTATTTAAAATCAAATGATGCCACTAAAACCATGACTGGTAGGTCAGGGAAGACTTGTTTAAATAAATAAAGCCTTCTAAGGTGCTGAAACCAAAACAGTGTTGGCCCATTTGTATGAAAGTATGACAAAATGCCATTTGTGTTGAGGTAAGGAGTTGAAAAGGAGAACCTTTATTAAAAATGATACTACTTTTCACATAATTGAGAGATTTGAGTTCCTGTGCACTGACCTATTTAATGTAAAAGCTACCTTTCAGTATTGAAACTCTCAGGGTGCCATACAATTAAAAAAACAATAGACTAAAGCTATAAAAGGGGGGAAATGACATCAGAGAAGTTGGAGCAAAAGCATAAAAATCCAGCAAAGCTATAGAACAGGTGGACAACTTGGGGAAGTTGTAGGAAGCATTGAATTGCCTCCTGCAACCCACCAAGAGTGAGACAGAATCACTACACTGATTTATGTGGGTCTAATGAATATCTTTTTACCAAAGGCAATGCTTATTACATTGATAGCTCCCAAATATTTGGAATGAACTGTTTGGATATGGCAGGCAGTATTGTATCTATGCTACTAAAATTATTGCTGCCACCTCTGCAATGGTAAAATTACATTAAGTTTGCAAGGAAACAAGCCATGAAAGGAAGTGTGCCTTGTTTGCAAGAATTGCCCTCTATGAAGCTTTTGGGAGCCTGATTATGCTTGTAAATAAGGTGAGCATTCTCTATGAATTGTTATGTTTACCTCCCCTCTAGCCTGGAGAGGTTGTAAATGTCAGGTAATTCCATAGTGAGACAGCTTTCATCCATTTGATTGTAGATGAAACAGCTGATTGGCTGTGTCACTGAAATTTCCATGGATGAGCTGAGAGAAGTCTGTCACAACTGTCTAGCTGGGTATATAATGCAACACCAACATAGACTAGAGGGGCAGGACATGAGGGAGGGGTGCTGCTGCTGTGATCTGTAAGGTATCTCCCTCACCAGGTGACCTGTCCGCTCAGGTACCATGGAAGGTCGTCTTTGTCAGGAAAGAACAAGAAGTGCTACCCTGTTGGTGCTCCTCTCAGTGGTGTCTTACTGGATCAGCTCAGGGTTAGGTGTTGAAGGCTTGGTGATGCCACTCTTGCCTTCCAGGTTTGTTTAAGAAAGTGGCTTTCTGAAAGGGAGATGCTGCTGAACCCCATGGCATTTGAATGGTGAGGTCCTGTTATGTCCCCTATTCTCCATAAAACCACTCAGAGTGCCTTTTACCAGCTTCATCTGTTCCACATTGGCTCATGCTGTAATAATCTCCTGGCTGAATTAGTGTAAACCATAGTATGGTAGATTGTTCTTGCACAGAAGCTTCAAAAAGTGCAAAATGCCGCAGCCAGTAGTGTAACAGGTACAACCAGAAGGAGCATATGGCATAGATTTTGAAGGATACTGGTTGCCTGTTCAATACTGAGTTCAAATCAAGATGCTGCCATTTAATTTAAAATGTTCAGTGTTTGGGGGCCCAAATAAAGGCAGGACCACATCTTCCTATATTAAGCTCCCTGTGGCTTAAAATAATCAGTGGAGGTTTTTCTTTAAATACATTGTGTACATTTTGTGTCAAGAAGGGAGACGAGCTTTTCAGTTATATAGGGTGCCATAACTTTCCTCATGGCACCAACATTGCAATTGTTTCAGCACTAACTCAAAGCCTTGTTGTTGACATAACCATTTTAATCTGTTGGCTGGCTATTATTGTATCAGTTGCCTTCTCTCTTCTTAAGTTGATGATAATGTTTTACTTTTTATATTTTACTGTATATTCTTTTAATCATGCAAGTATACCACCCTGGTATCTACAAATGTATCTTTAATATAATAGTATTGTATATTGATGGATGTTTCTGGGAAATCTTTAGAGTCAGCCTGATTGTACTAGTCCAGACATGCATCACTATGGCCTTGCTATTTATCTCCAAAATGGGCTGTAGCTAGTGTACATCTTCAGCTGGTAAGTTTCTACATGCCACTAATGCCACTTCCAGAGAAATGCTGGATCAGTCAATACACCCAGCACCAGTACTTTTAGGATTGTTTTAGATGAAGTACTAGGCTAAAAACTAGAAAAGGCATAATAAGACTCCAGGAAATGGTAAATTAATTCATATCAGAAAGATGCAGTTTAACCAATATGAACATTCATAGAAAATTCATTCTTTCCAGGATACAGCCAGAATAGATAATCACAATAGTTTTTCATGTGAGAATAAACAGACTGGATTCCAGAATTGCCATATGTATAAGGGACTGACTTTTCTTAATCACTGTGTTGGCCTTTAAAGCTTGCTATTGCTGTGAAGTAACGTGAGAGTAATGTGAATGCCTTTGCCCTGGGATATCAAAATGTAATTATATTTTCTTACTAGGTGGTCATGAGAATTTTTCCAAAATGATTGATGAAGCAGAAGCTTTGGAGTTTCCTATGGTTGTGAAGAACACACGTGGTCATAGAGGTGGGTACATAATTGCTATACAGTGCACAATTGGAATTATGTTTTATCCGAAGTGTCCTGACTGCACCTTGGAACCAAATTGTCTGAAATACTAAGAACTTCTCAATACTAAGAACTTGCCAAGAAGAAACAAGTTATTGCAGTTATGTAGTACTATCAACACTTGCTCAATTATCTGCACTTCCTAGTTAAATTAGTGTACGTTTAACAAAACATGGATTAGCATATGACTAGGTTTGTTTGTTTTTCTGTAGTTCCAAAAATAACCATAAATGTATTGGTGTTTTGCATGCTAAAGCATTGTAATAATAGATTAAAATCCTTATTGTTTCACTTGCCACAAAGTGCGAGTCATTTATCGTTTTGGCTTAGCATTCCAATTTAAATTATATATCTCAAATTCATATATATATTCTTGGTTGAACAACAATTATAAATTACCATTTTAGTTTCCCATATGCAGGAATGAAACATCCTACCCTAAATATTTCAAGTGAATCAGCCTTAAGAAGGATTGGGACATATCCTATTAGAATCCACTCCAAGCATTCATGGGCTTCCTCTCATGCTCAACCTGATCTTCCAAAATGAACTGAGCCAAGAGGAAGTCAGTAAAGACTTGCAGACCACTAGTTGTTCAAATGGCAACTTTCTTCCCCAGCAACTGCAGCAGCCCAAAAAGTGACCACAACTGATGCATAAGAGCAGTGCTGTTTGCACAGTGGTCTCAGGGCTGCTTTCCTGACAAACCAATCGGCCAATTTTCTTTGGCATCAGTTGCAACCACTTGAATAGTAGCTGTTCTTCATCGCGGTCTCTGTGCATCACATACATACGGGTGCTGCGCCTGCACAGTGCCTGTTGTCAGGAAGATTTTACAGCTTTAACGGTTTTGGCGGGAACTCTTTGCCCCCCTCCCCCTTGGTATAAATGGGCAGAGTACCCACCCTTTCACCAGTCTGCTTGCGATCGCCATTTGCTGTACCTCAGGCTCTTTTTCTTATTGCCATTTTTTTCTCAATAGCACTTCAATTGCCTTTTCTATTTCTTTTATTTACTTTCCAGTATCTACCCTTTTACTTCCCTAACTTGCACTACCTTCCCAAACTCCACACTACTTATGCCCTTCCCCCCTCCTAACTTCTATTTCCCTATATATATATATATATATATATATATATATATCCTCTTATCGTCTCGTTACCTCATTGATTATACCTCCTTTTTCTCTTTGTTCCCCTCAATGGTGCAGTGGACAGCCTTCCATAAGTGTACCCAGTGCAGAGCAAAAATTTCTCCAACTGATCCACGCACTCTCTGCCTCCTCTGCCTGGGAGAGGGCCATAGAAAGGATAAGTGTAGCCATTGCCAGTCCTTCATGAGGCAGGCTAGAAAGAATCAGGAAAATAGAGTGAAGAAAATGCTTTGGGACCAGGGTCTGGTTGCAGTGAAGGAGATCATGGCAGCAGCCTCCTCTGCTACTCCTGGTTCTGCTAAGAGCGCCCCCTCTCATCCACGTCAGGGGGACAGTGTCAGTACTGATGGCAAGCGATCCACTCGGTCTTCCTCTCCTAAGAAGCATAAGGAGAAGAGGAAGCAAACTGGATCCAAAGGTGCCATTAAACTGAAGCGCCCTAAAAAAGACAAGACCAAGTGCCACCATAAGCAGCACCCTCGGGTGCCTCATCCGGATCCTTCTACTCTGCCATCATCTCAGTACCAACTGAACTGTCTGGACGCCAGTCTGTTATGCCCATGACACCACCATCATCACCTCTGCACATCCTGCTCTTTCCTCACTCCAGCCCAGAGCACCTGGAGCCGGTGGCACGAGCCTCCATATTGGATGGGGAGATTTATGAATTGCCTCCTCCATTGGGTCCTGATCGGACGACTGCGAGATCACCAACCCCCACTCCAGGTGGCCAGTCATCGCCAGAGGCATCTCCAAGGACCTCACAGCATCCACCCTCATTCTTGCAGTGTCCACTGCAAGCTTCGAGCTGTCAGCCCTCCAGATGTTGGATGTTGTTACCTTATGGAGACTTTGATCCTGTCCAGCTGGATTGTGCCTATCCATGGGATTACTGCCCTACGTACAACTATCCCTACCCACCAACAACAACACATCACGGCATTGTACTCCTCCATCGACACCTAAGAACATGCCATCCACACCTGGGAGTCCATCGTATCTGATCAGTAGGTTCTCTCCGTCATAGAGCATGGATATAAAATTGCATTTGAAACTGTACCTCCTTTGGGTCTGATCTGCTATATATCATCCTCTCCAGCCCTCCTGGAAGATGTCACCAAGCTGCTTCATAAGGGCACAATTCAAAAAGTCATTCAGAAGGACTTTTCTACTCCAGGTACTTAACGGTACTGAAGAGAAAGGGGGCATTGGCCCCATTCTGGATTTATGTGGAGTTAATAAAGACATCAATACCAAGAAATACAGAATGACCACGCTCCAGAATATACTTCTGTTGCTCAGGAAAGAGGATTGGTTCACATCCTTGGACTTGAAAGACCCTTACTTTTATATCAGCATTCACCCTGTCCACAGGTGCTTCCTGCGGTTCACTGTCAGTACCGAGGTCTATAAATACAACGTCCTTCTCTTTGGCCTCACTACTGCACCAAAAATACTCACTAAATGCATGGCCCCAGGTTGTGCCCACCTCAGACTTCAGGAAGTCCAGGTCTACCCTTACCTTGGTGATTGGCTTCTTGTATCCTCTTCTAGAGTGGACTTGTTAGCCTCCATTGAAACCACCTGTTCCCTGCTTAATCAACTGGGACTGTGCATCAGTAATGAGAAGTCGTGCCTTGTTCCTTCCCACGTTATCAGTTACATCATAGCACTCCTGGACTCACTTTGCACCCGAGCCTTCCTTCCACCAGATTGACTCAAGACACTGACATGTTCTATAAGCTGCTTCACCACAAAATGAACTGTCCCAGCACGTTCCATCCAACAGATGCTCAGTCACATGGCGTCTATGGTATTAGTGGTACCGAATTCAAGACTGCAGATGCAGCCGCTCCAGTTGTGGTTCAACTGTAATTACCATGCAGAATGTGATCAACCGTGCCAACCACTACAGCCTTGGCACTCCTTTGGATTCTATCCTTGTGGACTGTTGACACCAATCTGACTGGCAGGGTACTACTCCGACCACCAGAACTGACCATGATGCTGTATACCGACGCTTTCCTGACTGGATGGGGTGCTCACCGTGCATTTCTCTGAACCCAAGGCACCTGACATGGCCACAAGACAAGACATATCAACTATCTGGAATTGCTGGCAGTATTCAAGGCACTACATTCCTTTCAAACAATTCTATGAGGTCACACTTTCCAAATGGTATTGGACAAGTTTGTGACCTTGTTTTATCGCAACAGAAAGGGAGGAACAAGATTGGTTTTATTGGCACACCTTGCTTTTCGCATCTGGAACTGGTGTATCACTCACAAGATCACTCTTCAAGCTGCTCATCTTGAAGAGAATTAAGAAGCTAATTCCCTCAGCAGACACATGTCCACAACCCACAAGTGGGAGCTGGACCGTCAGGTCTGCCAACATCTATTTGAACTGTGGGAAACACTGTCTATAGACCTCTTCGCCACCCACAGGACTTCAGTCTGCGAAATCTACTGCTCCAGAGTGGGCATCAGCCCAAATTCCATCGGGGACGCAGTCAAGATTTCATGGGAGAATGAGCCTTTCTATGCGTTCCCCCCAAGCCCACTAATAACAAAGACATTGGCAAAGATTTATCATGACAATGCTCATGGCATTCTAATCACCCTGTGGTGGCCCTGACAATCCTGGTTTCCCACTCTACTTCAGTTATCCAAGAATGTTTACATTCATCTACCTCAGATCCCACACCTCCTAACCCAAGAGCAAGGTGCTATACATCACCCAGATCTACGCTCTCTAAAACTCACGGCTTGGCTCATCCAATAACCTCTTTACCAGGGGTCCTCAAACTTTTTGAATAGGGGGTCAGTTGAAAGGTCCCAGCGATGGGTGCGGGCCAGGGGGGATGCATGCACAGAAAGGCAGGGGCATGCCTGCGCAGAGATCATTATTTCTCAATGAGTCCAAAACGATCTCCCTGCGAGCAAGCCAGTGCCTCAAGGTCAGCTTGCTCACAAGATGGTTTTGGACTCACTCGAACAGGATCTCCCAACAAGGCACCAGCTTGCTCGCAAGGAGATCTTTTCTCTGAGCGAGTCCAAAATGATTGTCCCCTCACTCGGAGAAAAGGATCTTCCAGCAAGGCGCCAGCTTGCTCACAAGGATATCCTTTCCTCCAAGTGAGTCCAAAGCGATCTCCTTGTGAGCAACCCGGCACCTTGCCATGCGCATGCACATGTGGCGAGCTATGGCAGGCTGGATCCAGCCTGTGGGCCGTAGCTTGAGGACCCATGCTCTATACAGTCAATCTCTTTGGTACCGACATCGTCCTCGGGACCAACAAGAATGACTCCGGAATCACCTACCTCAATACCAGCTGTCTCTTTAATATCAATACTTTATCCAATACCGATGCTGCACTTGGAACTGACATCCACTTCGGTATCGACAATATCTACAAATTCAATGAATCTTTACCCAGACATTGTTTATTCTACAGTCTACATTGCGGCCAAATACACAATTGTTCCTACAATGCCAAATGGAAACATTTTACCTCTTTTGCCACTGCTAACCAATTTCTGCCTCAATCTGCCACCAATGAGAACATTTTACAAATCCTACTCTCATTACACCATGGGGATCTCAAGCCTTCCTCCATTAAGGTATATATTGCAGCCAACTCGCATCACCAAGACTGTATAGGATGTTTGTCCATATTCTCCCACCAGCTCATATGTCACTTCTTACGAGGATTACAAACCTTCAACCTCCAACCCAATTGGTCATCCTGATGTGGAGCCTCTCCATCATCCTACAGGCTCTAACTAAACCTCTATTTGAACCC